CTCTCTCTCTCTCTCTCTCTCTCTCTCTCACCTGACGCCCATGTTACTGAGAGCCTGGTTCTCCTGGCGGTGCTCCTGGTGTTCCCGATACACCTCCCTGTTGAACTTCACGTTCGACATGTCCACGGCCTTGACGGTGGCCTCGATTCGAACCTGATCTAGGTACTCGCGCACGTCCATCTCCACCTGTTCACGGTCGTGGATCGTAGATCGTACACCGTACATCGTACATGGTACATATTACATCGTGCGTTCGTGTGTTTCGCGTGTGCATTGCAGTACACGAGATCAGCAAAGGAGGCGACATGCGAGGAGGGGGGGGGGGCGGGGGACGAATTGTCATATCTGTAAAACTAAAGGCACGACCTGCAATCACGGTTTGGTTCGTAGCACCCCGATGACCAGTGCACGGATGTCGGTGTGTGGAAGGGGGGCGCTGAGTGGTCACTCTATCTCTGGTCTGGATAAAACGGCTGATGATAAGGATTCCTGTGAAAGAGACGAAAAGCGGAGGGTATAGAAGTTGTAAGCAAAACCAAAACTTCGCACAGCGGCTGCTGTCTCCCGTGAGGTTTGGCCACTTCAAGAGACGGTCTACACCCGCTCACTCACAGTTAACGTAGCCTCAAGTAACGGGACTGAGCTGCTGATTCACCACCGGAGACTTGCACATTACACGCCTAAAAGGGTTCTCCGACTGCGCTGCAACGCATGGTTATTCAGGACAATTCGCATGTTCTTCCCCCCTTCAATTGGTATGGCGCCCTCCCGTTGACGGATAGATGTTGTGCCTGCCACGGCCTTCCCGCATATGATGCTGCGCCTGTGACGACCATCTACCCAAGCTTTCATATCCACTGCTCCGCCTGACCCAACCCAACCCAATCCGCACGAAAAGGTCGAACTCTCAATCGAGATCGCCGTAAACCAGCCTGGAACATGTGCACCACAAGAAGAAACCAGCAAACCCACCTGCTCCGGGTTATCCTTGGGGTCGACGATGACGCTGAACAGCCGAAGAGAACACCTGCGACGCAAGAGACGAGCGAGACGGAGAGCTTGCTAAAGCCGAAAAACTGAACGGTTGTGTGTTTGTGCGTTTCATTCGTCCCGTCTGCTCTGCACGGCAGTCTACACCCTCGGTATTGTAGACTACTTCCTTGACGCACCAGCCGGGAAAACAATAGCCAGGAAGGAGAAGAGGGATAAAATACAAAAGTACTCCTTGATTTCTTGCACATGCACCGATTGTTCGGCATATGACACAAAGGAGGTGTGATTGCAGAAGGCGATACCGTAGAGAGGTGTGCTTTCCGGAAGCACGAGATGGCGATTGCAGCAGCAGCAGCAGCAGCAGCAGCAGCAGCAGCAGCACGAAGAGTCTACATGCCCCACATCTACGGGCACAAACGCCTCTCTTTATGTCTTGTCACCTTTTCCACAGCACGTGCAGCTTGAGAAGGTACGGGACGAGGAGCAGGAGCCCGCCGTCCTTGGCCACCCACCAGATGTCGATCGTCTGTCCTGCCGTAGCCTTTGTGGGACAACAGCAACAGCAACGGCAACAGCAGCAGCAACGGCAACATAATAGGCCGGGAATAAATTGACTGCGTGACGCCCCAAATAGGTACTCGTTGATACATCAAGCAGTTGTCCCTGTTAACGGTCGCATAGATAATACTTGCCAAGGGATTGCCCGACTGGTACCGGGTAGGAGGCAGCTTGAACAATCCATTTGCGTTACGAGATTTCACCGGCCTTTTACTGCATTAGGTTGTACGCAAACGTGCCGTCAACATGCTGGGGATGAAGGCGCGTTTGTCACACTCTACTCTTGAGGTTTTTCGCCCCTCGGCTCCAACACCGATCGATCAAGATCATCACCGGATTGAGACGCGTAGGCAGCCTCTTGTCGCCCTTGAGCACCATGACCGCCTTTCTCGCATTCACGGCGCCCCTCAGCATCGACACGAACCGCTCCCCCTTCTCGTAGTTCTTGCTCCAGTCGTCCGGCCACGCGAAGAGCACCTGTTGCGATGATGATGACGTCAGTGATAGCGTCATTGTTGGTGATGATGATGACGGCATTGTTGCGGCGGGAACACAACGACGCTGCTTGAGCGGCAACGGGAACGCCGCCGCCGTGTGCGCACACTACACACCCGATGGACGCCGATCGAGTCCACCACATCCCGATAGCTAGGCAAGCGCAACTCCACAGTACCAACAAAGACGGCAGTGCCTATTTCTATCACTCACTCCGTGTGTGTCCCACTCCAACCCACATCCACACCGCCATTGACTCAAAACGACGGCCAAGCTACGACACAACAGAAGGTACGACTTAGGCCGGCCCGAACCCTTGAACCCACACGAGACCACACAAGAGCCAGGCTTGATTTTTTTACTGTGTTCCGCTGGAGCAATCCAATGCTCAGCCTTAGGGGGGTGTACTGATAGCCGAGCATGCCACAGTCGTCAGACCATTGACCTCGCATGATCAAGGCAAGCGGTGGGCATGTAACCAAGACTCGCGACTCACCGTGTTGGGCTGGAGAGATCCGATGCCGGCGTGATGCATGACCGTCACCGCGCTCTCCGTCACGTTCTGGCAGACCGAGACCTTGCAGAAGCCCTCGATGCGCTCGTCCGTCAGGTGCATGCCGAGCACGCGCTGGGCCTCCGCCCCCTTCACAGCATCCTGTTTTGTGTGTTGGTACGTTGTTCTTGTCTTACCAACAAGAAATGTTCCGGTATATCGTTCTGCTCAGTGCCTATTTTCGACATCCGTAGTCCTGGTCCGACTGCCGCGGATGCATTCCCAAGTCACAGGCCAAACTGCCCCTTAAAAATGGTGCTATAAAAGAAGCAAAGTACAGTACTTGGCCCTCTATAGTGCAGGGGTGTGTTCAGAAATTTTACCTGCACTATTGCGGGCACCTGCACTATTCAGAATAGTGCCTCAAGAGTGCAGGTTCGGCACTATTGAGGTTTTGATTGTCCCTCAATAGTGCAGGTCCTGCACTATTGAGGAGATGTTTGATTTCATGGTGAGGCGCTCATGCTTTGAGGGGCTAACAGAGTACGAAATGGATCGAACTACAGCAGTGCTGGGCCCTGTTTTAGCGTGGGTGTGGACAGACTGTCCCGCGCGTGTGGTTGCCCCCTTCGCACACACCGAGTTACTTTGCAAGTTGCACCGTAAGTTTCTTCCTGCCTCAGCACTCGTAGTGTTCATAGCACACCCTGAACTGTCGCACGATCTAACATTGACGCGCAGTGGACGAAAGATACGTGCGCCTGGGCATGAGCTTCCACTGGAGGCCTGTCTCGTCGAGGTTGAAGATGAACCTAGCCGGGTACTTCGCGCAAAGGGCCCTGACTTCGTCCATGCCCTCCTTGATGGCCGCGCTGTCGACGCTACCAGCCTCGTCATGAAGTCTCACGCTCTGTATTTTGTTGTGCTTCACGAAGTTCTCTGCCCACTTCTCGCCGGCCTTGAAGTCCTCGACCCTCGCCCTCACTGCTTNCTCATGCTTTGAGGGGCTAACAGAGTACGAAATGGATCGAACTACAGCAGTGCTGGGCCCTGTTTTAGCGTGGGTGTGGACAGACTGTCCCGCGCGTGTGGTTGCCCCCTTCGCACACACCGAGTTACTTTGCAAGTTGCACCGTAAGTTTCTTCCTGCCTCAGCACTCGTAGTGTACATAGCACACCCTGAACCATCGCACGATCTAACATTAACGCGCAGTGAACGAAGCTGAATCTCAGTCCTTCTCCCTGCCCTCTTTGCATGTTGCAANTCATAGCACACCCTGAACTGTCGCACGATCTAACATTGACGCGCAGTGGACGAAAGATACGTGCGCCTGGGCATGAGCTTCCACTGGAGGCCTGTCTCGTCGAGGTTGAAGATGAACCTAGCCGGGTACTTCGCGCAAAGGGCCCTGACTTCGTCCATGCCCTCCTTGATGGCCGCGCTGTCGACGCTACCAGCCTCGTCATGAAGTCTCACGCTCTGTATTTTGTTGTGCTTCACGAAGTTCTCTGCCCACTTCTCGCCGGCCTTGAAGTCCTCGACCCTCGCCCTCACTGCTTTAGAAGTCGCAGGGTCAGCCAGCAGGGTTACCCTGGCGGAACGGCCGAAGCTTCGAAGGACATCGCGTGTGACGGGCATCTTGGCCTGCCGAGCTTTCTCGAGCAGATCAAGAGCTATCGTATCCACCTGACGTCGAAAAACGAGTGTAGAACAACAACATCAATGCAGCGAGTGCAAAAAATCGAACCATTAGTTTCGAACGATAGCATAACATACATCGTACACTGCGCGGCGCGGTCAGGCGGGAACGAAAAAAAAAAGGCGATGTGAGCTACACTCGAAAACAAATTGCGGGCGAGAAGAAACAAGCGCTGCAGACGCATACATGGGTGGTTCCACATTGAAAAAGAGGGTGTGTGAGATTGGAGATAAAAGAAGCAAGACGAGAAAAAAGGGGCGAAATAAGACAACAATATCAAGGAGAAGACGGCGAAAAAAAAAACACAAGGAACAGAGGAGAGGTGAAAGCGCAGACAAAGAAAGTACAACGAGAGACAAAAAAAGGTGAGGACAAAGACAACAAAAACAGAACGACGGGGAAAAAGAAAAGAGAAAGGACAAAAAAAAAAAAGAATGAGAAGGACAGAAAGACCGAAAACAAAGGAACGCTGCAAAAAAACAAGCGATCAAAGAGAACAAGGCCCGAAAAAAAAAGGCCGCACAAAAAAAGGCGGGGAAAAAACAAGGTCACAGCAGCAAGGCAGTGTATGTAACGTACCTCCGGAAAATCTCCGTTGCGTGCAGTTTTCTGGCTGCCGTTGCCTGCAGCTGCCGCCGCCTCGATCGCCTTCCGGTCAGACCTCACCGTCGCAAGAAACCGAACCGAGCACGAGAAGCGGTGTGCAATCTGCGCGTAGGAGACCTTGGCATCCATCGCCTTCAGCATTTCAAGCTTCTTGTTGTTGTCCGGCCGCGCACGAGAACCAGAACCCTTCTTACTCCCCCCCTTCGTCTTCTTCGGGTGCTTAGAGGATCCCGCCCCAGCACCATCAGCTGGTGCCGCTTTGCGCTTGCCAGGCTTGGCGACGCACTTGGCTGCAGATGCGGTGCATTTCGTTGTCCTCAACCACGCCGCCGCAATTGCCGTGGAGCCGGCCGCCACACCCTCCCTTGCAGACGTGGCCATAAGGGGCTTGCGGCGTTGTGTCTTGCTGATGGCACATTTCACCGTCCGCACAAGGCATGGTGCGCCTCTGCGTAGAGCTCTTACGGTCTGCAGCAGCACGTGTATCCGCGTATTCTGTGTTGTGTCTGTCCGCTGTTCGGTGTGTGTGTGTGTGTATGTGTCCAACCTGCACTATTGCGGGGCACCGCGGTGCCCCACCTGCACTAAAGCAGGACCTCCCTCAACAGTGCAGGACCTGCACTATAGAGGGCGCTGTCTGTGTCCAGAGATTTCACCTGCACTTTACCGGGCACCTGCACTGTTCAACCTGCACTATAGGGGGCCCAGTACTGTAGTCAAAAGAGAGCTGCGTGCTAGGCTTGTCATACGAGAGAGAGACAGAGAGAGAGAGAGAGAGAGCCTTACGATTTGCCAATACCCTTCTCATGACAACATGGTATACTGCGAAACAAGCGCTGTTTGCTGTTCAGACCATACCCCCTGTTACCGCCGAGGGGGGGAGGGGCTCACCTCAACCATGTCTCCCTCGAGAAGACCAACGGACATGAGCAAACCTCTCCCCATCTTCATCTGACCCGCCAGAGAGAGGAGGCCCGGTACCGTAGGATTACCGTAGGCATCGATCTTGCAGAACACCAGCAGCTGGGACAGGACGGACGACGCAAAGCGCGGTTAACATTTCGGCAAAAGACGGGTCGACAGGGCCAGACTGGCGACAGAAGCAGCAGCAGCAGCAGCAGCAGCAGCAGCAGCAGCAATACTAATCAACAGTAACATCGTTGAAGAGGGGGCTGATCACACCGTCCAGCATCGACAGCAACAGCTGGCCCCGAAACCAACACCAGCGCCGACAGGTTATCAACGTACTGGTACGTCGCAGGAGCACCAGCTGCTACTGCTGCTGCGCGCGCGCACACACCAACTAAAAGCACATGGACGATGTCAGCAACAGCACAGGAGCTAGCTCCCCATCGCAACAGCCACGGAATATAGGCAGGTGTCAAGAGGATACAGTACTTGCCGGCATCAACCCGTTTCAGACTAACAACGACTGCAATGCACCATGACTAAACTTGAGGTCCCGTTCATCGTAAGTACAATCTGACATCTGCAGCTTTTAAGTATGGGCTTGTAGGCAATATGGCCCTTTAATACCTGGGGCCGCCAGTTCTTGGGGTGCACGTCTTTGTACGAAAGCGAAAGGAGCATGTCTCGCGCGAGTTGAAACCTATCGTTGTGACGTAACGGGTGAGAAACGAACACAAGGGGAAGGGGACGATGCACAACCAAGGACAAAGGAGTGCGTTCGAAAAGCGAAACAAGCGGTGTCAACGAGCGGGCTGGGCGAGCCGTTCGGAGAGGCAACGAGCAATAAAAGACAGCCGTGCCATCATCGTAGGACAGTAGAACCATCTCAGGACTTGCTACGCGATACGAAGAACCACAGGGAGGGGGAGGGGGGGGTGTACTCATAGTCGTGCAAGCCGTAGTCGTTAGACCATTGACCTCGCATCCCTACAAGCCGGGACGGAGCACGCCGGGTTCTCACCGGACCAGGCTCTCACATCACCAAGCGCGAAGCGCCGTGAGATATTCGGCGAGTCGCATGAAGGGTGCGCTGCATCCTGCTAAGGGTTTTCGGCATCTTGTGCTTACTTCCTTGCGTA